TTAGCAAACAAGACATTAAAAAATAGTAATAACAACAGCATTTTGTAGTTGTTGTTAAGTGCTGTCAAGTTGGTTCAAACTCACAGTGACCCTGTTCACAACAGAACAAAAGACTGCCCAGCCCTGTGCTACCCTCAATCATTGCTATGCTTAAGCAAATGTTACAAAGCTCTTTCAGCTCTGCTGAAAGGTGCTCAGAGAGGCACCCACTCAGCAAGCAAGCCTCCTGCCTGACAGCACTCAGCTTTTTGCTCTGTGGGCCAGCAAGCCAGCTGCTCTGTCTCTTGGTTCTTCTGTCTCTGCTGCTGCCATCTTTCTGCTGTCTCTACTATCTCTCTGCCATCTCAGTACAGGGATCTTGGGTCCAAGGACACACTCCCCTCCTGGTTCTTCTCTCTTGATAGTAGTGAGAACTTCCTTTCTCTCTCTGAGATGGCTCATTTTAAGCCTAGCAGGATAGCAAAACTGACCAATCCCCACATTAGGTTTCCATATACCTTATTTGCACAGCACCACTCTCACAAGAGTGCTATGTACTCTACTTTATTAACATGCTATCCAATTCTCTTGATAAGCCACAAGCATCTCACATTTGCATAGTCCCACCCAGTCATCAGTAGGAGTCACAAAGACCATGCCTAGAAGAGCCAAATTAAGTAATTAACTGCACCACACTATACCACTTACTGACTTAACGGCAAGAGGTACAATACTTAACCACTCAGGGCCTCTGTTTCCTTAGAGATATGTTTTAAGAACTAAATAAGGCATTATAAGCAAGGTGTCTGACATTATAAGTAAGGGCACTGTAAATGCCACTTTTCGTTATGAGAACATTTCACCTGCCAGACTGTAGGCTCTGTCTAGACCCATGTCTTGAATTATAACTGGTCTAAAGGGTGTGCATTAAATCCAGATCTCCAGATAAAAATTCACATAACCCAGACTAAATCTACCATCAGCCATGATTTATAAAAGCAATTCCAATAACTCTTAAGCCTAATTCCAAAATGCTAACTTACTCTAAAAGGTCAGTGCACATAAGTGTAAAATACAAAGAGAAATTTTAATTTGTCACCTTGCAATGGCATTTAAACATGAAAGATGTGAAAAGTAGGGGGCAGGAATTACAATGGGAAAGCTTGGAAAATAAGGAGAAAATATATGAAAGAAATGATGATTTCATCTTTCAAAAATCTCATTCAAAGTACAGATTAATAAATTATAATAGCAAGCAGTTACATGGCACTTTTCATCTTCAAAGCTCTAGATCAACCATTGAAATACCCTCGTCGCATGCAAATTAGAAATACAGATGTCGTTTAGCAACTGGATAAGTAGAGATAGGGACCTTCAATGATGTTTTTAATGGCATAGGGGAAATTCATTGACACTGTGAAGGTGGGTGGCAGGGCTTATGCTCATAATACAGGGCTTATTTGGATCATGAGATGGTGTAGAGAAAAGATAAGTTCAGTGGTGAGAGTGGGAAGGGAGAAAGTGAGAGAAGAGATAATGACAGAAGAGAGGAAAGGGAGAGAGAACATGTACTGAGTACTTACATGCCTAGCATATTATGTACATTATTTCACTTAATCCTCAAAACAACCCTTAGTTTGGATATTATTATGATAAAACTCAGACTAAGAAATGCTACAATAAAAAAAAAAAAAAAAAAAAAAAACCTTGTCCAATATCAAACACCTTATAGGTGGAAAAGTTGGCATTCAAATAGCCTTTCTGACCTTTAAAGCCTTAGTAGCCCTGTCTACAAGGTGTCTACAAGGTAACATTGTGATTCTTGGGTGCCTTCAAGTTGATTCCAACTCATAATGACCCCATGTGACAGAGTGGAACTACCCCATAGGGTTTTCTTGTCTGTAATCATTATGGGAGCAGATCATAAGATCTTTCTCCAGATCTTTCTCCAGCAGAGCCACTAAGTGGGTTGGAACTGCCAACTTTTCAGTTAGCATCTGAGCACTTAATCATTGTGCCACCAAGGCTTGGAATTGACTCGATGGCATATGACAACAACAACTGTTCCAGACAGGAGAGAACATGTATGTTAGCATCTGAGTCAAATGAGGTCATGGAAGGGAAACAGTGTTACCCCTACCCTGTGCTATAATCGACTTGGCCACTGTTGTATTCAGATACTATAATAAAAAATAGTTTCTGCTTTTTTATTTACCTAATATTAGGACTAAAATTTATATAAGGCAATAGGAGAAAAACCAATCTCCAATTTCTCTGTTGGGAAAATTTGAGCTATCCCAGCCAGGAAAAAAAAGGATACATTTGGTTTCACCTTGTTATCACCACCTCTGTTGAAGAGGTCAGTGACTATTTGCGATATGTAGATTGAAGATAGATTTTTTTTCCAGGAGGGATAGACACCAGAGCATAGCACTCTGGAATCAGACTACCAGGGTTCAAATTCTGTGCCTTTGAACTGCTTATTTGATATTTCCTGACTTAGCTTCCTGTATAAAATGGAGTATAATAATAATATGAACCTTAGAAGGTAATAATGAATATTAAAATGTTAGTACATGTCCAAATATATAGTAAGTGCAAAAAAAAAATTAGTTAATATTCTTACAACAGGATATACCATTTAATGTTCAGTCTAGTGCACTTATAAATAGATGCATTATAACTAATGTCTCATCTAGTCTTGTGACCCACCACAGAACAGACATGACTCATTTTAGTTTTGATCAAAAAGAGATGTCATTGTCAAAGAAATGAAGTTGATTATTTTTTAAATGCCATGTCTGTCCACAGTGTAATATACTAAGCAGCTCACTCTTATTTTTATTCAAGTATGTGAGCAATGGCTTTTGTATTTACTACCTATAAGCTGATAGATACAGACAGATAGTAGAATAGTAATCAGGCACTGGCAGTCATTTGATGCTGTTTTATTCTTCTGACTGCTTTTCTTCATCAAAATCTCCTTATAAAAGAGATTTTTTATCTTTTATCACTGATAAAAATTTATGAAATTATTTCAAGGCTGTTAATGTTAATTTAAAATTATTTCAACAATAAAAAAAATCAAGTTGTCTAGAAATGCTGCAGATATTGGTAAATGGTTAGCTGTGTTTTAAATGTTTGACCTTCTAAAAGCAACCCAGAGCAGTGGGAAATCCTTTGTGTTTCTTGAAGACATAGGATGTAAAGGTTGCCAAGGCTTACTAAATTCTGGGTGTGAAAATAAGGGCACTGAAGAAAGCTTTTGAAATATTAAAGAATAGGTAAAACTCTGCAGCACTATTGATTTCAAAAGCACAAAGGAAATATTCAGAACAGGAAGAAAACATCAAAAAGTCATTGTAAAACATTGCACATGCAGTCTTCACTGTCACTGCCTGGAAGTAGAAAATATGGGATAAGCTTTCTAAAAAAAATAAAAATAAAAATTCGCCTCACTAAGAGTATTTTATCAATATGTATTCATTTGTTAACAAAAAAACAAACCTATTGCCACTCTGGTAGCATAGTGCCTAAGGCACTTGACTGCTAACCAGAAGGCTGGGGGCTCAACCCACCAGCCACTCCTTGGAAGGTAGGTTGGGCAATCTACTTCCGTAGTGATACTGTGTTGGCAACCCAAGGAGGGGTCGCTATGAGTCAGGTCCGACTCGACGACACATAACAACAAAAACGACATTGCCATTGAGTCGATTCCTACTTACAGCAACCTTATAGGACAGAGTAGAACTGTCCTACAGGGTTTCTAAAGCTGCAAATCTTTACTGAAGCAGGTTGTCACTCTTTCTCCTGTGCAGTTCTGTTGGGTTTAAACCACTGACATTTCAGTTAGCAGCTGAGTGCTTGACCACTGCACCACAAGGGATCCTTATTCATTTGCTAGAGAATTCTTATTTCTCATAGATTTCTGAAACTGTCAGAAATTACAAGTGTGAACAGTGTTGTATAAGAAAAATTAATACCTTCATTGCTGATTGCAATATTTTAGGATTTTAAAAGTGCCTTGTTAGCAGGGATTTAGAAAAATAGAAATTGAAATCTCTTACAATTTACATTCTTCGGCCTACATGACCTTAAGACCTTATTTCAATCTGATTTATTTTGGTATTATAAAGCAACTATTTTCCATCCATGCATGAATTCCTGATAAAAATTTATTTTAACTACCTATTACCTAAGATTTTAATGTAAAAACATCATCAACTATATTAACACTGGGAAACAAACAGGGCACTATTTGCTTTTAGATTTATTACAATCTGACCCGTTGAATAAGAATGACACATGGTGTGTGTATCTGTGTGTGTGACAGAGAGAGAGAAGTAGATAGAGATGAGAGAGGCAATTTGAAAGGACACTTCCATATTTCTTTGGTAAATCTCAGACATCATTCCTACGAGGAATGGTCAGTTTGTTTCCAAACACTTAAGACTAATTGCTGGTTTGCTAGGAGAGGATTGGAGCATTATTTCCAGCCACACACTATTGCAGTGCAGTTGCTGCAATATTCTCTCACAGCTGTCGCCCACCTCTGTAAAGGCAAGTCTACATAGTGTGAGAGATGGTATAGAAAAATGAGCATGGAACCAGAAATCATGACACCTGATTGTCAGTAGCTTTAATGTTATTTAGTTTGTGGCCAAAGGCAACTCATTCAGCCCCTTAAGGCCTTAGCCTCTCCTATTAAACAGAAGAAATTGAAACAAACTTTTCTCAACCTGCTTACAATTCTAAACTACTCTGACTTGTCAGGACCATTCTGTTGACAGAAAATCTAAGGCCCACTTAAGCTCTATAAATTAAACTAGAACAGAGTCACCACACTTTTGAGCTTGACATGAGACTGTCTGGCTGGAAAGGTGTAATTGCAAACATTTGCTGAATTTATTTAGAAAGAAACGTACTTTTGGATACTTGGGTAGGTTACTCCTTTCTGCCCGTGGACTCCGCAGGGGAAGCATCGTTAAAGCCTTCTTAATTTTTTTCTGCCCACTGCCGTCATGTCTAAGTCAGAGTCTCCTAAAGAACCCAAACAGCTGCGAAAACTCTTCATTGGAGGGTTGAGCTTCGAAACAACAGATGAGAGTCTGAGAAGCCATTTTGAGCAATGGGGAATGCTCACAGACTGTGTGGTAATGAGAGATCCAAACACCAAGTGTTCCAGAGGCTTTGGATTTTTCACTTACTCTACAGTGAAGAAGGTGGATGCAGCCATGAATGCAAGACCACACAAGGTAGATGGAAGCGTTGTGGAACCAAAGAGAGCTGTCTCACGGGAAGACTCTCAAAGACCAGGTGCCCACTTAACTGTGAAAAAAATCTTTGTTGGTGGCATTAAAGAAGACACTGAAGAAAATCACCTAAGAGATTATTTTGAACAATATGGGAAAATTGAAGTGATTGGAATCATGATTGACCGAGGCAGTGGCAAGAAGAGGGGCTTTGCTTTTGTAACTTTTGATGACCACAACTCTGTAGATAAAATTGTCATTCAAAAATATCATACTGTGAATGGCCATAACTGTGAAGTAAGAAAAGCCTCAAAGCAAGAGATGGCCAGTGCCTCTTCTAGCCAAAGAGGTCGAAGTGGTTCTGGAAACTTCGGTGGTGGCCATGGAGGTGGTTTTGGTGGGAATGAAAATTTGGTCATGGAGGAAACTTCAGTGGGCACGGTAGCTTTGGTGGCAGCCATGGTGGTGGTGGATATGGAGGCAGTGGGGATGGTTATAATGGATTTGGTAGTGATGGAAGCACTTTTGGAGGTGGCGGAAGCTACAATGATTTTGGCAGTTACAACAATCAGTCTTCAAATTTTGGACCCATGAAGGGAGGAAACTTTGGAGGCAGAAGCTCTGGCCCTTATGGTGGTGGAGGTCAATACTTTGCCAAACCACGAAACCAACATGGCTATGGTGGTTCAAGCAGCAGCAGTAGCTATGGCAGTGGCAGAAGGTTTTAACAATTGCCAGGAAACAAAGCTTAGCAGGAGAGGAGAACCAGAGAAGTGACAGAGAAGCTACAGGCTACAACAGATTTGTGAACTCAGGCAAGCACAGTGGTGGCACGGCCTAGCTGCTACAAAGAAGGCATGTTTTAGACAAAACTCATGTGAATGGGCAAAAAAAACTCGAGGACTGTGTTTGTAACTAATTGTATAACAGGTTATTTTAGTTTCTGTTTTGTGGAAAGTGTAAAGCATTCCAACCAAGGGTTTTAATGTAGATTTTTTTTTTTCACCCATGCTGTTGATTGCTTAAATGTAATAGTCTGATCATGAAGCTGAATAAATGTCTTTTTTTTTTTTTTAAAAAAAAAGAAAGGTACTTCTATATCCTGGAACTTTGAACAATACACTTAATAACCAAGTCTATTTTACTTTGATTTGACCAAGGAAAACTTTCTAATATAAAATTCTAATCCAAGTAATTCTGGAAAAAAAAAAAAAAGATGGAGTGGAAGAATATCCACTTTCTATATTTAGGGTAATCCAAACCTGTAGAAAAAGATTGGGTCTTAAAGTTTAAGAAAGATAAGAACTTCTTTAGTTATGTGATTTCATATCATACCCCTAAGAATTCTCAGTATCTACTGAGACTGAAGACAAAAGACTTATCTACTCTTTTTATTCTTAGGGAAATTCATTCATTCATCCATCTGGTAAGATTTATTTGGGCATCTCTGAGATTGCTGACACTGCAGCAGGTACCAAAAGGTAAGTAAGGTATGGACCTGTTCTCAAGGAGCTGACAGCCCAGAAGACCAGATCTGTGACAAATAATTATTATGCAGTGTGACAAATGCTGTAATAGAGGTTCGTACAAAACACAGTGAAACACAAAAGATGAATCTGCATGGATTTGTTAGCTCTACAGTTCTATAAAACATGTATCATTTTATAAACTTGGCAACAAAATAAATTATGGGAGGAAGGATAATAGGGACTCTACTTATTCTTTCAACATCATACAGCATTTACTCTGTTCCAAGCACTAGAGCTTACATTTTAGTGAGGCATACAAATATTGAGCAAGTAATTGCATGTGCGGTGAGTAATACAAATATGTGTGTGGTGAGGAGCAAAATGCTATAAAATCGTCTAACAGGACTATCCAGCTAGATGGAGGAATCAGACAGGGTTACTCTGCAAAAACCATTCAAGCTACCATAAGAAGAGTGCGTAGGGTTTAGCTAATCACAGAGCCAAACGCTCAATCATGAGTGACGACCTTAAAGTGAGAGAGAAGGTAGTTTATTAAAAAAAAAAAAAAAAATTGAATGAAGACCATGGTGACTGCAGAGCAAATTCCGGTTTCTGAGACCAGAAAGGCAGACAACAGCCAGATCATGGAAGGGCTCATAAAATACAGGAAGTTCTAGGATTTTATTTTGAAGATAATATATTGGGACAGGATAATAGCAGATATAGTAAGACTAGTTATTCCAATGCCTCAGATGAGAGATGGTGGTAGCTTGGATTGGAATCATGTAAATGAAAGAAGGAGATAGACTCAAGAACTGTTTAGGAAGTAGATTATGGCTTGGTGATTGATTAGATGTAGAAAAAAAAGAATGAGGAGGCAATTAGGAAGAACTCCAGGGTTTCTACTGTGAGAAATTGGCTGAACACTGAAATAGAGGCTACTGGAAGAGAAATGAGGAGCTCAGGTGGCATAGTGCCTAAGGCATTTGACTGCTAACCAGAAGTTTGGTGGTTCAAACCTACCAGCCACTCTGCAGAAGCAAGACTGACCAATCTACTTCCATAAAGATTTACCACCTGGGAAACCCAAAGGGGGTCACTATGAGTCAGAATTGACTATATGGCAGTGAGTTTGGTTTTTGGTTTGGGAAGAGAAAGGGGGATAAGGGTGGGGCAAGATCAAGTGTACCATATTGAATATGTTGCATATAGGACAGAGAAACATCCAATTGAGAGTACCAAGTGACTCACTAAAACGCCTTCTGTCAATTCCAGTCTGACTCATAGCGACCCCTCCTTGGGTTTCTGAAACAGTATCTCTATAGAAGTAGAGTGCCCAGTCTTCCTTCCAAAGAGTGGCTGGTGGGTTTGAACTGCCAGCCTTCTTGTTAGTAGTCTAATGCCCTAGGTACTATGCCACCAGAGCTCCCAAGTGAATAGGTTGGTTAAAATAGTTTTAGGCAAGAGAAGAGAGTTCAGGTCAGCATAGAGATAATGACTGAAGCCATATGTGTGGATGAGAGTGAATACTGGAAATGTAACACACATATACACAATGATATATGGAATACCAAGGAAATAAGAGAAAGCTGAGCAATGTCTGGATGTCTTGGCCATTCCCTGAAAAGTAAAAGTCACTTCTGAGCTACTCATCTACCCCATACTCTTGCCATCTAGCCCTTCTTCAGTTTGCATTCTGCCTGACAGAGCCACAAGAGACCAAAGCATAGTGGCAAATTGAGTATTGGAATGACAGTGTATCACAGAACATATCACAAATATTTAATACCTCAGGAAAAAAAAAAAGTCCACACCTTAGGAATTGTGTGAAAATGTTCATTCATTCATTCACTCACTCAAGAAATATTTATTAAGCAGCTACTGTGTGGCAAGTACTGTTTTAACTAGTAGAGGTATGGAAGTGAGCAAAACTCTGCCACTTAGAGTTCACCATGTAGTAGGGAAAGTCAGATAAACAATAAAGAAACAAGTCTTGTGTGCTGTGAGAGAAATAAGTAAGATGATGGGAACAGAGAGGGAGTTCATTTAGGTAGTTTGGTCAAGCTTTAGCTTACCTCAGACCCCAGTGGGAAGCTAATGCTCAACTGTGTCAGCTGTCCGGGTTGATGATACGCACCCTGGTTATGCACTCACTTTCTTGCTCACTGGCAAAATAGACACCTGTCCTCTAAAGAATCCCCATTGCTCAGAACCAAATTGGTAGCAAATTAATCTACCAAGCAGAAGAATAGTTCAAAAGGGGTTACACAGGAGCATAGTATTTAACAGATGAAAGCTTCCAGCATCCTTGTGTTCATGCTGCTTTGTTGATGAGCTTTTAATTTCTTCCTCATGGTTTCTTGGATGAAATACCAAGTAAGGGAAACATCTAAGAGACATTCATTTGACCCCTAAAAACCTGGAAGTCTCTACCTTCTTTGACCTAAATAAAATGGAATCTGATCGGATAATACCTAAATACTCCCACAAAGCAAATATCCTCCTCTATAAAGAATAGCATTTTTAATTTTATAATAGATAATTTTCTATTTCAGTTTGGTAATTTAGATTTTAGGCTTAGGCCACTGGACTGAACTTAAAATTAATTATGAAAAATATGTACTTGAGTTTGAGCCGAAGATTGTGCTATTCGATAAGATTTGAGAAGAATCATAAAATACCTACCAGTGGGCCAGAGGGCTAAATATTCACCTTTAGATGTTGGTTTAGTGTTGTCATCTTAAAACACCTCTATTAAGTTATAATTGCTGCTTTTTCAAAGGAATGACACCCAAGACAGATACATTTTTGAAGCAAAAGAGAAAGGCTAGGCCAGCAGCAGGAGCTACTTTATAGGAAGAACAGACCCAGTAGGTAAATATTAAAAAGAACTAAGCAGTAATGTGAGAATATGAGGACACTGAGCGCCTGGAAGGAGCACTGTTAGGAGGCATGAAAGACACTAGGATGAATGTGGAATTGTACAACTTTTAAATTGGTAGGGACCTGAGAGATCAGCAAGTAAGTCGTAAACTCTCCTTGTCAGAAAGGGAGAAAAGGTACCCAAGAACATAGAAACTGAATGTTGAAAGAGACATTTGGTATTGGGCAAAATCCTTTGTATCAGTGTTTTCTATATTCATTGCTCAATAAGAATCCTCTGAAATGCTTATGAAAATTACAGATCCCTAGCTCTTTTCCCTTCCCACCACCAGCAATTTTGACTCATTATATCTTGGGCTGTTTTCAGGAAAAAAAAAAAAACACTCACTGCCATCAAGTCTATTCCGATTCATAGCAACCCCATTGGGTGTCCAAGGTGGTAAATCTTTACTGAAGTAGATTGCCCCATCTTTCTTCGGGTGGGTTTGAACCACCAGTCTTCTGATTAACAGTCAGTACCTTAGGTACTGTATCACCAGAGCTCCTTGTATTCAGGAAGAACCATTAAAAAAAATTATATTATCCAAAAACTTCTAGAAACACTTCTCTTTATGATGTACAAATTCTGTCTAACATATTCCTTATTTATCAGAGAGCCTCTGCATGAACTCATAAAGTTCTAGGTGCCAGCCTCTTCACCATCTAGTCAACAGACTCATTTTATTTTTCCTCAGAAACACTGTAGAGCATGTGATACATGTCAGGGACTGTATGTGAGGGTACAAGGATGGTCAAGAACATTCTTTGTCCCTAGGAAGATCTGTGGACAGACTCAGGCTTGCCCATGATGTTAGTGAAGTGACTCACAAGCAAAATACTCTAAATGTGAACAACCCAGCACAGGAGACTCACATTGCACTTTTGTTAACATTGGAATGGGAGGTGTTTTTTTTTTTTTGACAGTTTTAGTATGCTGGTTCTAAGATCACAAAACTCATTCATCACATTCAGGACTTCTGATCCTTAAACTGAATGTACTTGTACTAAATTCAACTACTTCAAAAATTTACCTAGGGATGAACTTTCTTAGTGCAATCCTAATAACCCCAAATGATAACTATTAATATTATTCACACTATGAACATTGATTTTATACTTTGTACAAGTTATTTCTGTAAATGGCAATAAATTTCACAGATCCTATAGATATTGTTTGCTGAATGAATCCCAAGAGTATAATCACTCCATTTTTCTCAATATGGGTAGAACACTATGCAATATAACATCTCCTATTGTATTCTACATATGTAAAGGAAAATAATGTGAGGAATATGGTTGAGATGATAGTCATAATGATGGCTAAAAGGAAGGAAATG